CGGCCTTGGCTGTCAATTACCAGGTTCCGGCTGGTGATTCCACGCCGGCACCCAGCGATCTCCGAGGATTTCCGATGGGGGAGAGACCTGTATGTAAACAATACAGATCTCTCCCCTGTCAGCTCCTGCACACTGTTTTGCATGGCTCTGCATAGCAGAGCCATACAAAGCAGCGTGCTTACAGTGAAACACACACACAGCACACAGTAAAACAGCAAACAGTTAACCCTTTGATCGCTTCAGATGTTAACCACTTTCTTCCCAGTGCCATTAGTACAGTGTCAGTACTTTTTATTAGCACTGATCACTGTATTGGTATCACTGGCGATGTCAGTGACATCAAATCAGTTCCCCCCAGTGTCAGAATGCCCACTGTAGTCCCACTATAATTCGCTGATTACCACTATTACTAGTAAAAAAAAAATTAAAAAAATTCCAGTATATATACTGCCATTTGTAAATGCTATAACTTTCACGTAAACCAATTAATTTACATGTATTAGGATTTTTTTTTTTTTAGCAAAGACATAAAAATTCATTTTGGACTAAAATGTATGCCGAAATTTGATTTTTGAAATTTTTTTACTGGACATGTTTAATAGCAAAAAGTCAAAAATATTGTTTTTTTCTCAAAGCTGTTGGTCTTTTTTGTTTATAGACCAAAAAATAAAAAACACACAGGCGATCAAATACCACCTAAGAAAGCACTATTTGTGGGAAAAAAAGGACGTAAATTTAATTTGGGTGCAGTGTTGCATGACCGCTCAATTGTCAGTTAAAGTAACAATGTGCCATATCGCAAAAAAAATGACCTGGTCAGGAAAAAAAAGAATTCACAGTGACAAATTCTATGTAAGGAAACACATGCAAGGCACAATTAACATCATTATTGATCCATGGTGCATGTAACACATGTAAGAGCACATAGGAAATACTCAACAAACAAAGCATATCTCAGACTAGGAGAACATAGTGTTTTATAAGAGATGCCAATTTCATGCACATGTTTATTTATACTTTTAATTAAAAGTCAGTTTTTATGTCTGGTGAATCCTTTTCCACAACCACTGACTATGGCATAGATCAAGGTTTGATCTAGGTCAGTGCCAGGGTTATTGGATCAAGGTCAGGGTCAAAGAACAAAGTCCGGGTCAAAGGTCCGGGTCAGTATTTTTATGAAAAAACATTTTTTAAATTAGTATAAGTGTCAATTATTGTCAGTGTGTTTTAGGTAGGATTAAAAACAAAGCAAAATATGCAGTATTGTTTCTGGGCTGTACTACGGGTACAAACAACAACTAACATACACACATTGTAGGCAAGTGGCATTTCTGCGATTGTCAGGAGCAGGAGAATTTATTTTGGGTTGTTCTTTGGTGGTAGGTTATGGTAGTAGCAAAAAATATACAGCTAAAATTTAAAAAAAAAGTTTTTTTTTCTAAACTATTTTGGCTTAGTTTTCCTTTGATAATAAAACCCCCCCAGGAGATATCCATAACCATTTTCCACCAAATGAAAGCCAAATTTGTTCTGAAAAAGACAAGGTATAATTCACATGGATGTACAAAGCTAGTTGTGATGATATGTCCGGTTTTACTAACACATGTCAAAGTTGCTAAATTGTGCTTAGGTATTAACATTTGTTAAGCACTGCAATTTTGAAAATTCGAACAGAAACCTGTACTAAAAGAAACACAGAGCTACCTAGGCTGACCTCTACATCTACAATTTACAAGTCTCTTACCAAATAACACCTTAAAAACTAGGACAGGGTGAAGGCAGAGCTCCTGGTCTACATACCAGTTTAAGGTCAGTGCAAAAAAAAACTACTGAAGCAAGTGGATCAATGTTACAGCTAGGGAACTAACTTTATTTCCCAAAAATAATGGTCAGCAATGACAGACATGTCCCCATACCTGTGTAAAAGTTCTGAAGTTAAACCTTACGTTTATCTGGGTAAAACAAAGCTATATATCTGACAAAAGCACATATCAATTTGACTGTAACCTCTTAAAGCCCCTTGATTAACGATTGCCATATTATTATTAATTCTTATCTTAGTGTCAATAATTTTATTTGAGAAGTCACCAACTGATATTTTAGCTGTAGAGTCTAGTGTTCTAAATCACCTTTTGTTTTTTGTCTTGTATATTTTTACAACTATCTATGCTATGCAATATATGCAAAATAGGATAAAGCCGGACTCAGTAACATCCATTTGCAGTTATATTTATTTAGTTTGAAGGTGCGTACAGCATAACTGTACTGGCTGTATCCTATTTTGCATCTAATTCTATGAGTGATACTGAAGACACTATCAACCATTTTTTTCAGCTTCTGCCTGGGATCCTGGAGAGAGCATAGCTTTATTCTGCGATACATTATAGTATTATTTACTATTTAAACAGAATTCCCTACATCAGTGTTTCTCAGCCTTTTTTCAGTCATGACACCCTTTAAAAGGATTTTCAGTCTTGAGAAACCTCTCTTTAAGGATCCATTCACTTGCAAGATTGGGGAATGGTAAAGCTATGTGGTTAAGCTGCATTTTTGCCACCAATTGCTCCCACTTTAGAGGCAGCAGCCGGCATGGTAGAAATGTTGTGGCCATGATGCTTTACAGCCAAGGCAGGCATTATACCCCCTGTTTTGTTCACAGGCACTACCGCTCGCTGAAGTCTACCCACTTAAGTGAATAGGGCCATGCTGCAGCTGCCCTGCCACCATGTGCATTTGCATGATTACAGCATTCTGGTGCTGCATTTAGGGGGTTAAAACAGGTGGTAAGGAGGTGACATATTGCTTCTTTATCGCCTGTCAAATGCTTCTGAGAAGTGATTAAGCATGGATCACTTTTCAGAGGGCAAGCAGTCCTTGCCACTAGCATTAAAGCGGAATTCCAGACATTTTAGTGTTTAGTAAAAGTCAGCAGCTACAAAAACTGTAGCTGATGACTTTTAATAAACACACATTTACCTGTCCCAGGGTCCAGCGATGTTCTCACCTGCGTGGTCCTTTCTCCCCTTCTCTCCATCACGGCGCCGGCATCTCAACTGTGGGCACCAGGCTGTGACAGCTTGCGGCTTCACAGCCTGGTGCCCATTGCGCATGGGCAAGTCACGCCGCGCCTCCTAATTGGTCTGGCAGTCTCCTGGGACCTGTAAAAATTCTCAGGAGACTGTGGGTGGAAGGAGAGAGCCGAACTTCCAGCTCAGTTTCACCGCGGCAAACTGAGCCGGAAGAGGAAGCGGGTACCTGTCAAACACAGGTATCTGCTCCCCCCCAAAAGGTGCCAAATATGGCAGTGGAGGGGGGGGGGAGGAGGCAAATAAGTGGAGCTTCCACTTTTTAGTGGAACTCCGCTTTAACAAGCTCTACAAAAGCGGTCCGTCTAGCTTACAAAAACAGTTCTGATCACAGAGTATAAGATCAGGATTAAAGTTAACATACAGGCATACACACACACACACACACACACAACACACACACACACACACACACACACACGCTGAAAAAGTAAATGTAAGCTACAGTGCTTTGAGGAGCTCTTTCTAATGCACCTTTCACATTTGTGTTCCATCTGTCCGTCTTTCATCCAACCGTTGACAGTTGAAAAACGGACAGCAATGAATCTCTATGGGCTAAGGAATGTAAAGGGATGAGCACCCATTTACATCCGTTTCTGTTTAGGTCCGTTGTTTTAAACAGAACATGTCTCTGTCAGATCCAATTTAAATTAACCTGAATGGAATAAAACGGACGTAAATGGAAAATGTCCATTTTGTGTCTCATCCTTGCTATTAGCCAGCAGGATGTTTCACTAGTTGTTAAAAACCTGCTATCAGCAGAATGTAACAAAAAAAAAAATCTGGTATTGAATTTGGGGGGAACCTCACACTAAAAAAATGGTGTGATGTCCCCCCAAAATCCATAACAGACCCAACATGTGGCCCCTCAACATGGGGGGGGTATTTTTTTGATGAGCACAAGGGCTTCTTCCCCACAACCCTGGCCCAGTTCATTGTGCAAGAGGTGACTTATTGCAATCTGGAAGCAGATACCACCCTCCCCACCCATGGGAATAAGTAAAGAGTATATAGTACCCCTACTCATTCACCAAAAAAAGTCAGTAGTAAATAAAAAAACACAAAGACGTTCTTGACCAGTCTTTTATTAAAAATGCACATCCATCATCAATTGTTGGTCACTGCCCACTTGAAAAAAAAAACCCCCACCAATACCTGATCGGACTGTCATTTGCCTTCAACCAACTAGCACTCACCTCCCCCCACCGCTGAATTAAACTAAGGGCCAGTGACATCATTGACCATACACAGACATGTCCGTGGACCAGGTGCTTTGCTGGTGGTCCCCACAAGCACCCCCCACATTGAGGGCATGTGGCCTGGTATGGTTTGGGGGGGATTAAAACACTTCATCTTCACCCTTTCCTGGCCTGCCATGCTGCATGCTCGGATAAGGGTCAGCTATGGAATTTGGGGGGCCTTTTTTGGCTTGGTTCCCCCTTAAAATCCATACCAAACCTAAAGGGCCTGGTGTGGATTTTGGGTGGGAACCCTGTGCCTTTTTTTGGCTAAAGGTCCCCCCAAAATCCATAACTGACCTGAAGGGTCTGATGTAAACTGATGTAATTCAATCTGTTTTTTTTTCTGTGCATAAACACGAATAAACAGATGATGCCTGAATGAAAGAAGTCTACTTCTTGAGTTGCCTCACTCTTCTACTAGTAAACATAACTAATGCCAGAATCAGTTTGGCAACTTTCCCCAAAGTCAGTTGTTGTGGTTTAGAGTTAGGTCAGCATTATTAGTTTATTTCCACACATGTTGCTATAGTGACTACTTTATAGAATAAATGATCTCCTGAAAAGTCCTCACCTGCCCCCATGAAGATGTGGTCCACTCCACACACAGCTGTCTACTGCAGCTTTGACTGTCAACAGGACGTTTTGCAGACAAGGTGCAGATATCATTTGACACTGGTATAGAGATCCCTGTTCCTGTTAGTTTTTGGCAAGTCACCCTGCGAGTCTGTACTCCTCCTCCACAGCTCTGTGAACATGCAGACCAGGAGGTTACCATCCACCTAAACGAAAGAAGTGAAAACAAGGTTCAGAGGAACTCATAGTATAATTAAACTAAAACCATGTGACACTTTTCCGGTCTTACTGTAAGATAAGGCTCATTGTTATTCCCAAGCTTTGTGTCAGAATGCCTCTATATAAATACTCTAGGGTAGTAATTCTCAATTTATGACAGGCAGTTGTATATGGTCTCAGCCCCAGCTGTGACTTCTGAAAGCTTCCCAGCAGGTGTACGGCTGGAAGAGTAGATATGTCAGTCAATCACAAGTTGTTTCCTGTGGCCGATAAGCAATCCTGGTGACCACCTGACAGCCCTGAGGAACCCGAATGTGGGATATAATATTAAAAGAACGTTTTAGGCAAATAGCAAATGCAATATTTATTTCAAAATTTAGCAAACATTTTTTTCCATCCATGCAGCTGTGTGCATATTAAAGCTAATTTCTGTTAATTATGTGCAGTCCTGCATGTAGTGCATTGTGCAAACAAAGTCCTACATGATTAAATATTGGGCCAGTAATTGGTTTTCTGAGTTCTGCAAAGAACAGTATAAGGAGCAGTAGCATAGTAACCAATGCAAATTCACCATTCACTTATCTGTCTTGACTAAATTAATATTTTATTATGTGCAATGGATTGCTGGAAAATAACCAATGCTCTTTGAACTACCAATAAAGCTCATGAGCCCACACATTTTGATTCATTTGGCCAATTTCAAGGCCTAGTGCACAACATTATGCACTACATATGTGGAGTTTACTGCACATACAAAACTCACATCACCACCACCATTTTGAACAGTTACCTGCAGTTTCCAGGCACAAAACATTCTAAAGAGACCCAAAGTCTATGCAACTTCTATGCAGCTTTTTCATAAAGAGTTACAGATTTAAATAACAAGGTGAAAAAGGTTTATTTTCTTGTACTGATATTTTGGAATGGAAACATAAATATTAAACTAACATCCATTACTGCAGTGTCTCAATGAAAATATGCCTTAAAATACATACTAAATATATGTATAACAAATTCCATTCTTTATCTCGCATGCAGTTCTTTAAATTTTTCATTACATGATGACCAAGCTGACTGGCAAAAGTGACAATGAAAAGGATGGGACAAGCTGTAAAACTGCCAGGGATGCTTAAGGGACCCTGCAAAGTCCCTTTATAATGTCTGGATGCCCTCCTCGGAAAATTAGTTTGCTGATAGGATGTCCAAAATGTACCTGTAAAGACAAAAGTCTATATACAGTATGTACCTTACCCCTATCTTCCCAAATCATTGGGCATGATTTTACTATTCTTCCAGGGAGACTGTATTTCTTTGCAATAGCATCTTCTTGTGAGATTTGGGATGCAATACATTCCTCAGGATTCAGCCCGATGCCTTAGACTAAAATCAGAGCTAAAGTACATAATCTATCTTTTTTCTTTACAGGTACATTTTTGGAAATACTATTGCCAGAGATTTTTACCGAGAGAGAGGGCCTGTAGATTATAAGCGGACCATGTATTTTATCACACAGACCATTTTAGGAAGTTGCAGTAACAGTTTTTTTTTTGTTTTTAATACCTCTTTATTGAGTTTTCCAAACATTTTTACAGCTATCCATTTCAAAACGGAGGCAATAAAAAATTCTGGAGCACAACCAAGCCAACCAACTATGGAACAGATATAATGAGGCCTATATCTAACATTGCTGTGTATGAGAATAAAATGTTTTAGACACCGTAATGTCAAGTAAAAAAAATTATCAATCCTGAGAATGTACGCTCTCAGGAATAAGAGGTAGGAAATGGAGAATCAGGGGAGCAGAGTAGCAGGTGTTGCAGCCAACCGGAACTAGAAAACTTTAGAAAAAATAGGTAGAAGAGAGAGGAGGGATTAGAAAGACAGGGGGGAAGAAAGCGGAAGAGTGGACAAAAGGGGACAAAGTGGGAGGGGGAAGAAAGAAGGGCTATTGAGCTCAGTGGGGTTCAGTCAAAGACCCCTATGTCCTGTTTTTTTTAAATAAAATGTAAACCACATGCACCAAAGTTAAAGTGATATTAAAGTGATTCTAAAGGTTTATTTTTTTTTTAAGAAAAAATAACAAACATGTCTATACTTAACTGCTGTGTGCAGTGGTTTTGCACAGATCCCCCCACAGGTTCTCTGGCCCCTCCCTCCTGTCGGGTGTCCCACAACAAGCAGCTTGCTATGGGGGCACCCGCTGCTCCGTGTATCTATTGTATCTATTACTGCTCCGTGTATCTATCACATGAAGCTGTGGCTTGGCCCCATCCCTCTCTCTTCTCATTGGCTCACTGGCTGTGATTGACAGCAGTGGGAGCCAACGGCTCCCACTTCTGTCTCAGCTAATGATAAGAGGGAGTTCCGGGATAGCCGAGACTCCAGTGCACATCGCTGGATCGAGAGGGGGCTTAGGTGAGTATTAGGGGGGATGGGGGAGCTGCTGCACACAGAAGGCTTTTTACCTTCATGCATAAAATGCATGAAGGTAAAAAACCTTGAGCCTTTAGAACCACTTTAAAGTCAATTGTAAAAAATAACAAATATGTTATACTTACCTGCTGTGTGTAGTGAACTTGCATAGAACAGCCCTGATCCGCCTCTTCTTAGGTTCCCCGCCAGCGCTCCTGGCCCCTGCCTCCTGCTGAGTGCCCCCATGGCAAGTATTTTGCTATGGGGGCACACAAGCAGGTTTGGGAGCGAGCTTCTGCTCTGTGTGTCTATTAACACACAGAACCACTGCATTGCCCCACTTACTCTCCCTCTTCATTGGCTCACTGGTTGTGATTGACAGCAGAGGAAGCCAATGGCTCTCGCTGCTGTCTCAGCCAATGAAAAGAGAGAGTCCCGGACAGCCGAGGCTCTCGTGCACATCGCTGGATCGTGATAGGGCTCACGTGAGTATTAGGGGGGCTGAAGGAAGGAGCTGCTGCACAGAGAAGGTTTTTAGGTTAGTATGCATGAAGGTTAATAATCTTCTGCCTTTGGGCGTGTATTTTAAGTTAACACCTCAAAATCAGTTCGCAAAACATGGTGCAATGTGCAGAATCGGATTGCATAGGTGTTCACACCCATGCAATCCGATTCTGGTGTGGACAAAAAAAAGGGTCCTGCACTATTTTGGTGCAGATGTGGTGTGATTGGATCTGTTCCCCTGCTTAGTGTGGTCAATTTTTAATAAGTAAGCAGAGGGACTGGCAGGAACACCAGGGATTTCACACAAAGGAAGCAGCACAAAGAGAACAGGATACTTTTTCATACAGGTACATGGTACAGCAGGCACAGATCAGGAATATGAAATGTTGGGTTAACATATTATTTAACTATTCAAAGCACCCTTGGCATTGTTATAGATTGTTTTAAAGCCCTGTCCCTTATATGAAAACCATCTGAAAAAAAGTAAATATTCTGAAAACTGTGAATACTTAAAACTTCAGTGTTCAGTATAAAACATTTAGCAAAACTGGTCTTTTAAGGGAATAAAATACTGCCGTATAAGTTTCCCATAGTTTTTATAGGCAACACCCTATGGTCACACAGCTGTAGCAGCTTCAGTTGAAAAGTGCAAAGAAGAGGAATGCACATTTGACAGATCTGCAAATCCAGCTTGGAATTGGAGTGAAGCTGCAAAGTACAATTCTCACTGAAGAGTTTTGCCCTGTCTAATCCCCAGAGGTTACTTTCTTTCTTTTATATAATTAGCCACAAGGCTTCCACCATAGAGTTTGTGTATTTCCAGCCAAGACCAATGTTCAGGTTGAAATGAGAACAGGATGTAAAATGATTTTTGAGACCATGTAATTTTCCCATACATTTTCCTTCAATGCTGGCAAAGTAAGTTTTCCTTGGAGGGGTATCATCACACGTATTGTTATGGTTGAACCAAAGTTTAGTAATAACTAGGTGAGCAGTACAAGACCAGTCAGTTAAAGGATTTTATTGAACCTTATTTTTACTTTTTAACTCTTTCTGAGAATTCACTTGTGGATAAATTTATATCCATTTATAATGTTTGTTCTACACAAGTGGCTATTCATAATGTATGTATTGGTTATTATATTTTCACTGTTGGGTGTGCACATTTTTTTCTCTGAATTGTTAAAATAAAATTTCAGTAGTTCATAGAATATAACAAAAGCGACCAAGTAAAATAAGCCTAAAGTCTGTTTTGGACAAGAACTGACAAGACTCCCCCAAATTTATTTACTGCTCAAAACAATCTGAGTAAAAACTTTATATGCTATATTTTTTATTTTTGTAAAAATGCCGTGAGAATAATGATGGGTCAATCTGCTTGTGTTTGATTAGCAAAGGGTTCTACAAATCTTTTTGGAAACCTGAACTATAGGAGCCAATTTTTTTTTTGTTGAATTCTGGCCATTTTCAGGGCTAATAGACAAACTATGATAAAAAAAAGACACGTAAAGCTGGGACTTTCATGAAGGGACATGTATCAATGCAAAAACATTTTTTAAAAATACCGCACAGCAGGAAAAGGGTCTTTTCATACGACTTTAAAGGCAACATGAAAATAAACAAATTGTTCGAATGACATGCTTGGGGGATGCCTTAAAGCTGTACTTGGGGGTAGATTTACTAAAGCTGGTTCACGCAGAATCTGGTGCACCTGTGCATGATAGCCAATCAACCTCTAACCTCAGCATGTTCAATTAATCTTTAGCAATAAAACCTGTAAGCTGATTGGTTTCTATATAGAAGTGTACAAGTTTCTGAATGAACCAGCTTTAGTACATAAACCCCTTGGTGTTACAGAAAAGTACTGATACAGACAAGATTTAGTGTTCTCATTGAAAAGGAAGAGGATGGCAGGAGCACGTTTGAGCCTCCATAACTAAGCCCAGGCACAGCGTTCCAGCTTGTTTATCTCTCAATCATTATCTGCTTGTGTCAACATGAGTTACAAGGGCTCCATCTGTGAAGAGGTGTTACACACAGCAGATCAAGTCTCTGATCCAGCTGTGTTACC